AATATATATATATATATATATATATATATATATATATATATTTATTTCTATTATTTTTATATAACTATTGTGCTTTTTCCTAACCTACTGTATTTTGTATAAATGAGTCCCATATTTCATTATGCTTGTCCATACAAAGTTTATGTCTATAGGCGATCTGCTCATAGGTGGCAAGTGTAATCAGGTCTTCAATCCATTGAGTGAATGGGGCTATACATTTATCTTTCTAGTGTTGCAATATCAGTCTTTTGGCCATAGTAAGGGCACAGAGAATCCATTTACATTGTCCCGTCAAATTCCATGTACTAGGTATGTAATTCAAGAGAATATTATCCTTTGAAAATTTTAGCTTTTGTTGCACAGCCACATTTATATGATCCACTACTTTCTCCCAAAATTTATTAAGTATAGGGCATTGTAAAAGCATATGATTTAAAGAAGTAGATGATATTTATCTCTTAACATAGCATATGTTAAAAGTTCATCTTCATCTATTAGTTGGTCCAAAGTCAATATACCCACTTCCATCCAATTTTTCCGTATCACCATATTCCTGAATTTTTAGTGTTCGGTTGCCCCATAAAGTCAATTTAGCATGGGAAAAAGGGTCAAATCTTTTTTTATTAGACATTACATTCCATAGCTTTCTAACTGACATAATCGTTTCCAGAGATACTGGAGTTCTATTATATTTAAATCCTAATGCTGTCCATCCAACCAAAGGTGCTATATATGTATTTCCAACGTTGCCCAAATTGGAAAATTTGGAACTAGACAAGGGTGTCCACTTTCACCATTGCTTTTTAATGTTTGTGTGGAACCCTTGGCTTGTGCTATTAGACAACATAGGGAGATTTACGGAGTAGTACCTAATTCAGTTGAACACAAATCAGATTAGTTTTATTTGCAGATGATATTCTTCTGTTTATTTCTAAACCTCATACTACTATTCCAGTGTTTTTTTTTTAATAATTTTTTTTATTTTTTACAACAAACACAAAACATACATAAACAAACAAGAACAT